TTTTTCTCTTTCCCCCTCAGAAGCTGGAGAGGAGCGGTGCCTGCGGGGCGCCGGCGCTCGCCCCCTCCACTTCCTGTCGGCGGCGCGCCTGAGAGAGTCGCTTGGTGAGGAGAGTGGTGGGTCTGAGCGCTCGCTGGCTGCCGCACGCCTGCGCACACGTGGCCCAGCGCAGAAAAACGCGGGCCTCCGGTGACTGGAAAAAGCCAACTGGGGCTTCTCATGAAAGGGCCTTTTAAAGTTTTGCCTGGTTGGGTCTGGCTTCCTTATTCTGACGGACAGTGTTTGCTAGCAGGCTTGTCTGCCAAGTTGGCTTCCAGGTCAGGAAGCAACATTTCCCAAGGAGCGTGTGGCCTCCGGAGCCCCAGACACTGGTGGCCAAGCCCTTTGAGGGTCAATAGCACGCTACAGGCTTCAAAAAAAATAATCGAGGGAAGGTTTGCCTGCTTTAGTTTGGAACCTGTTAGGTAATCTTTTACGTTCACACACGCGCGCACACACAGACGATGCCATCCATACATACGTGTGCATAGACACGTAGACGTACATGAACTGAACTGAATATGGTATAACTCTCTGAAAAGCACAAATCAGGTCAGACATAAATTCCAGAACCTAAAATGCTGCCGTGAAAATTAGGTGTTTAATGTTCAGAGATAAAAAGCAGGGTGCCATTAATGTTATTTCCTTTCTCCAACTTGAGATTCCGATTTGGGACTTTGCCCTCAAAAAAAAAAAAAATGGAAATTTGTGTAATGATATAAGAAAAATCTATTATTCATTGTTCATATTAACAGTCTATTTAACAACCGTAGTGCCCAAAAGTCATAAGCCCAAAACTTTGCTCTAATGAAGAGACTTTCAAATACATATTTCAAAGGAGAGATAACACATTTTTCTTGTTTGTAAGTCAGAAATCTTTGTACTTGACCTAAGGAGATTAATATGGTGTACATTTAATTAATTAATTATTTAAATTGCACTAGAAAAATTGGAAACAAGTATCAAACTTATAGGATAATCAATAGAGAATATAAGCATTTTCATTAAAAGCTTGATTTTCTCAAAAGTCATGCTCCAGTTGCAAGTAATTGCCCTAATAAGGTATGCATAAATTCTTGGTTAAACATTGACATTAGAAATTTAGTCAAGAAATAATTATGATTTTATATATTTTCTATAATTTATGTCACATCCATGTGCTTAATAAAATCATATTAACTGATAAATACTGTAAATTGTGTGCCGAACAGATGTTGAAAAATGCATTGCTGAATAATATGTGTAGCTGTGTCCATGAATTTTGTATATATGATCTGGCTGTTATTTGCCATGTTTATCACAGCCCAGCACTGAAAGGACATTCCACGACTTAAGTGTAGTATGCCTTTGCATAAATTAGAATTGAATTATGTTTATGAATTTTGAAGCAATAAAGGAAATCATAGAAGTAAACCTCACTCTCTTCATTTTAAAACACTCCAGTCAATGGCACTCAATACTGACAGGATGGTTAGATAAAATGAATAACACTTGTTACTTCCCTTCAAAGCAGAGTGCATAGTTTTCATATGTAATCCACCCTTCAATTTCCTATTCAGATTAACAGGAAGTGTCCATACTGCTCAGGCTGCGGAATGTTGTAGTAGATAACATATCTGTGAAGGAAGTTTCAGCCAAGGAAAAATAAAATTACCTTGTTATTGCTGCATACCACATTCATTAATTCATACAATTTAATTTAAAATGCTTGTTATAATTCTAGAGATTCTTGGACCCAAATGATTTCAGGGGAAAATATCAATACTTGTGAGAAATAACAGCTTAACTGATAATCATTAACTATTAACTTTGAGACAAAACTACTGAGTCTCACTGTGTGTTAGCTACGTTTTGAACTGCTGTGGGTCTTGATTTCTTTACCCATGAAATAGGTATGATGTGGTGCTGGAGAGAGAGCTCAGAGGTTAAAAGTGTGCCCTGCTCTTGAAGAGGACCTAAGTTCGAATCCCAGCAACCAAGTTGGTTGGCTCACAGCCACCTGTCTCTCCAGTTTTAGGGGAATCCATTGGCACTGGCAATCATGTGCACATGCTCTACACCAAAATAATAAGAAGAAGAAGAAGAAGGAAGAAGAGGAGGAGGAGGAGGAGGAGGA